GCTGGTTACGCATAGTACTAATGTCTTTGGTTCATCTGTAGTAGATAGCATCGTGAATGTGAAGCAGCTTGTCCATTGTGAATTAAAACGAGAATGTTGTTTTATAATGAGTAGGGATAACTACAAGAATTTTTTGTTGTTTTATAATACGTCGTGATAACTGCAAGAATTGTTTGTGGTTTTGTAATATGTAGTGATAATTACAAGAATTGTTTTTCTGTAAATAACAAAATTTTTAATATTTTATAAAAACTTAATTATACTTAGACTAAAATAACAATATAGAACTTATCCTACCTGTAAATAATAAAAAAACAACATTCAATGTTAATTATTCGCTATTGTTTTTTGTCCCCTTTTTTTTTTAAATTAATTTTCTTATTCGAGTTACAACGATGTGTCCTCTAAGACTCGCAACGTTACACTGAATTCGCGTATGTGGCTCGTGGGTCACATCAGCCAGCGCGCAATATGCGCGACTTATGTGTTAATAATTTCTTACATATACAATATTAATCTCATTGATACCTTTTTGCAATAAATTAACTAACCATTTTTTACCTAACTACTCACTAAAAGGGTAATTATAATTAATTGAAATAATTTTGAAGTCAATATAAAGCACATAGAATCCCGTTCTACAATGTCTTTGGACGAAAAGAAAAATATCGCACGTATTTAAAATATCATCGATTCTAGCTTACGACCAGATGGAAAGGTTCTTTCAGTGGCGGAATACAAATGTTGTTTAGGCATCCTGGAGTCATACTTCAAGCAGATTCTCTTAATTCAAACGGACATCGAAAGATTGGATGCTGAGGACGGAGGACGTGCTGACCTGGAAGAACTTTACAAAACGACTAAATTGGTTATCCAATCGCAACTGGCAGAAGATAACAACGTTTCATTTTCGGATACAATTAGCGTGGTACAATCAAGTTCAAAACTTCCACCACTTAAGCTTCCTACGGTTGATGGCAAGTATTCGAATTATCAAAACTTTATCACATCGTTCAAACAAACAATTGATCACGAGTTCAATTTAACAAATATTGAAAAATTCAACCATTTTCGAAATTGTCTGCAAGGTCAAGCCTTCGAAACTGTAAATGCGTTTCAGGTTACATATGAAAACTACCCAAAGGCGTTAGAACGATTGAAGGTACGTTATGACAACAAAACACTAATTTTCTTGGAAGGAATAAATTCGCTATTTGATTTACCAGGAGTTGTGAAACCAAATGGCATTCAGCAAAGAAGTTTGATTGATAAAGCTTCTGGTTCTTTGATATCTCTGGGTGGTGACAGGCACATTTCTCAAGCAATGCTAATTTATCTAATATTGCAGAAATCTGATGATCAGACCAACAAAAGGTGGAAGGAGTCGCTAGATTTCAGAACGCTGCCGTCATGGGAAGATTTCATCGGAGTTTTGAAAAGGCACTGCTAGTATCTGGAGTCACTCGACAACCCGCATGGTAGTACTTCGACAGCTCAAGGTTTCAACAAACACTCCACTCCGAAATCAAGCTTTCAACCAAAAGGTTACACATTTTCCTACTCTACGATATCGTGACAATTCTGTTTTAACAACAACCCCAAGATTTTTAATTGTGAACGGTTTAAGTAGCTAAACATAACTCAACGTTTCGATCATGCAAAGAAAATTGGACTTTGCATGAATTGCTTATCAAAGGGACCTAAAGTAGCCAATTGTTCATCATCCCACAGGTGCAAAGTTTGTACACGGTGTTGTCGTAGTTTACTTCACCGTGGTTCACCTCCAGGCCAACGAACAGCTACTCAACTATTTCCTACACAGGAGGCAGCCATACATACACATATGAATAATTCATCGTTGGATAACGTAATCCTTGCAACAGTAAAAATTTTCGTTCGTGATTCAATGGTTAGCTATATATTGGGTACAGCGCTGCAAGATTCCTGTTCGCAAGTCAATTTCATCACAGATGATTTTTAGCAAAGGCTGCTGCTGCCAAGAAACAAATATAACATATAAATTCAAAGCATCGGTTTGTCATCAACAAATGTTAAATTCAAAACTTCAACTAACATCAAGTCGCAACTCACCGGTTTCGAGCTTCCATTAACTTTTTGTATTACATCGCACATTGCTTATCAACCAGATCCGGAAATCAACATTTCAACATGGAATATTCCAAGCAACATAGTACTCGCTGATGATGAATTTCATAGATCAAAGAAAATCGATATGTTGCTGGGTACGGAAACGTTCTTCAGTCTGCTATCTCTAGGTCAAATCCATATTGGGTCTAATTTACCTATCTTGCAAGAAACGCTCTTAGGTTGGATCGTTTCGGGACGCTATAATATCGGCAATATATCTAAACCATCTTATTTACTTTTAGCGAATGAATCTTTAGATGCAAAATTGGAAAGGTTGTTTAAATTGGAAGAAGTTTATACCATCCCAGAGCCTTGGATTCGTGAACAACAGATCATTTATACAATGCAATCGCGTCAAGATGACCTTGCGGCAGAATAGTTGTCGAGTCATACACTACGGCATTGCGACGATTCAATGCACAAGAACGTCGATTAGCTAAATCACCACAATTGACAGCACAGTACGTTGAATTTACGAACGATTACGAGAGCCTGGGTCATATGAGCATTGCAGAGAATCCAAATCTGAGCGAACCGCATTATTTTATACCACATCATTGCGTTCTTAAACCAACAAGTACAACAACAAAGCTTCGAGTCGTATTTCACGCCTCCTGTCGAACTACATCCCAAAAATCACTAAAAGATATTCTGATGGTTAGTCCTAAAATCCAAGGCGAACTTTTTATTCTTCTTCTTCGGTTCCGATTCAATAGGTTTGCAATCACGGAGATGATTCACGAAGATGATCGAAAGTTCCAATACATTCTGTGGAGGAGTTCACCGACTGAGGACATTCGGACTTACCAACTAAATACTGTAACGTATGGAATGGCTGCTGCACCATATCTTGCTAGACGGAGTTTGTTGTACCTAGCTGAACACCATTCAGAACAATTCCCAATTGGCGCAAAGATCGTGAAGTCATCATTTTACGGAGACGACTTACTGTGCGGTGCTGACAGTCTAAAGATAAACCAAGAGGTATCACAACTGTTAGAATTAGGAAAGTTTAAATTAACAAAGTGGCATTCTAATCATCATCGAATCAGAGAATACGACTCTTTAAAGGATCTAAACGTAGATTCGTCTATCACTAACGCTCTTGGACTAAAATGGAACCAAAATCTTGGTTGTTTTATTTTTTCATTTGAAGCAAAACTAGGACTCACTGGTCGTTTTACAAAACGTTCCATCCTTTCTGTTGCATCGTCACTTTACCACCCACTTCGTATTTTGGTTCCTGTTATTATAGCTTCAAAAATTTTGTTGCAAGAAATATGGCTACTAAAGCTGGATTGGGATGAATCTGTGCCACAGAACATTGAATGGGCTTTCTGAATTCCTTATCGGATCTTTTATTAATCAAGGTGCCTAGGTTTTGTTTTTCGGCAGATATGGAGTCTCTTCAGATATATGGATTTTGTGACGCATCGATTCGTGCATATGGCTGCGCAATTTATACTCGTTTTATCAACAAATCTGGCACTACTACTATTCGCTTACTCMCTGCTAAGTCCAGAGTTGCACCCATCAAAAAACAATCGTTACCAAAATTAGAACTTTGTGGCGCTCTTCTCCTTGCTCGTTTATTAACAAAAATCAAACCAACAATTTCTCATAAATCTTTTAATATTTTTCTTTGGACAGACTCACAAACAGTCTTACATTGGCTGAAGATGCATTCTGCAACACTTTTGACTTTTGTTGGCAATTGAATTTCGGAAATCCAGGACTTAACCAAAGGTGCTAATTTTAGACATGTACCAACTCATTGTAACCCGGCGGATGTTGCGTCTAGAGGATGTACCTTAAAGGAACTTGCTGATTCAATATGGTACACCGGACCGGGGTTTCTATACGAAAACTCAAATAAATGACCAAAGGAGAACTGCAATGATATCGACATGGAAGTTGTCGAAGAAGAGAAGCGAAAATCTGCATTTAAATCAATCGTTAGCACCAATTACATTTTGGAAATCGTGAATCAGCGAAGTAACTACTCTAGCAACCTTCGATTAATAGCTTCGATGTTCCGTTTCATCAATATTTGTCGACATAATACAAAACTTGACGAATCATCAACTCTCCCACCACAATAGTTGCATCACGCCTGACTTTTCATAATTTGCAATATTCAACATATACATTTTGCTAATGACATTCATCTTTTACAGAAAGGTCTCTCGACAAATGGTCCATTGCGTTATTTAAATCCGTTTTTAGTGTATACCGAAGAATTTCCAATACTCAAAGTTGGCGGTCGATTGGAATCAGCAAATATTCCAGAATAAAGGAAACACCCAATGATGTTGCCAAGCAAATGAGAATTCGTTATACACTACGCTCGCCACCTACATCGGAAACACTACCATGCAGGACCAAAGGCACTCGTAGCACTAATAAGACAGTTTTGGATAGTCAATGCACGCGATTTAGCAAGACGTATCATCAGATCGTGCACACATTGTATACGTTACAAGCAAAAGCTGATGAATCAGGTAATGGGACAGTTACCTGTCGAGCGATTGACTCAATTTCGCCCCTTTCCGCGTTGAGATATTGACTTCTGCGGACCAGTCAACGTATATTGGCGTATTCGAGGTAAAACACCTTATAAGTCGTACATAGAGATCTTTCACATCGAACTTGTRTCGGACCTAACCACGGATGCGTTCTTAGCATCATTGAAGCAAATGATTGGAAGGAGAGGGCTACCCTCAGACAACTTTTGCGACAACGCAACACATTTTGTGGGCGCTTGCAGCAAACTATCTGAACTAAAGTCATTTTTATTTAAAACCGAAAACAAAGATACAATGGTAAAATACTGTGCTAATGAATTTGTAAATTTTAATTTCGGCTAAGGGTCATCTCAACCGTACCTTYAAAAATGCAAGACTCACAGCTGAGGAACTAACAACAGTGCTGGTTGAGATAGGAGCCGTGTTAAATTCTTGGCCACTAACACCATTGTCATCGGATCCAAACGATTATAAAGCATTAACTCCGGGCCATTTTATTATTGGTAGCGCACTAAGGGCACTCCCAGAGCGAAGGTTGTCAGCTGAAATAAGTAGCTTAAACAGATGGAATCAAGTCACAAGCATTAAACAGACGTTTTGGAACAGGTGGTCAAATGATTATATCAACGAACTTCAAATACGATCAAAGTGGTATTCGGTACAGTCAAAAATCAACAACAACTCAATGGTTATCATCCATGAACATAACTTACCCCTACAAAAATGGCCTATTGGAATGGTTATAAACTGTATTCCAGGAAAGGATTCTAAACTACGTGTGATGGACATTCGAACAACGCAGGGAATCATTCGGCGAACAATTCACAAGCTAGCACTAGGAGTCATTCAACTCAATGCAGTTAACAATTGTATTTGCATTGTGTTTAACGATATGTTTCGCTCACGCAATTACACGTATGTTTGTTTCTGCACATTAGTTAATCCTATTAGCATGTAAGCAGCATATTACATTCTGCTGCATTCCCATTTTTACATTCCTCTTGAATAACTAAATTATATATGAAGAAGCATAGCGTTAAGTAGGTACTTAGTTTTATGAACTGTTAGAAGTACATAACATACATACACTGACTCACACTAAAAATGGGACACTCAAAAACTATTTGATTTTTTAACTTAAAATATAAATAGTAAGCAAGGTATGATAATTTTTTCAAAAATTCTTTTTTATTTCAAATAAGACATATATTTTTAAATGATATGAAGAAAAAAAAACCAAAGTATAATGTGAGTYAGTGTATATATGAATTAATACAAAGCGGAATTATGTACATATTTAGCAGTATCGAAATATTGTATAGAATATTATTTAAGGAGAAGAATTATGCAAATAAAGTTAGTCTAATACCTGACCACCTTACAGTGTCGTTACTCGTCCATTTGCTACAATTTCGCTGATACTTTTCGCTGTTTCGTAAATTTTCGCGGTTATAAAAAAAAGATTTATAGCCCTACAATATATATATATATATGTATATATTATATATAAAAGTAACATATGGACAAATAATATACTACTTTGTTTATTATTTTTCCACTATATCTCTCCTGAAATTTGACTCACCGTCTTAAGGTAAATTTAAGTCAGTCGGACGTCAACAATTAAGCTAAAGCATTCCATCAATAAATAATAAATTTTTTAATTTAAAATGAAATAACCTTATTTAATTTTACTGGCGCAGTCGGTAGGATCAGTGAAAGTGATCCTTTAAAAGAATATACTTGAATTTTTTGAAATTGTGAAAAATTAAAATATAAAAAGTGCGTTTATGTTGTGTAGCATGCAATTTTCCATTTAATACCTGGAAGCTGTGCCTACTATAGCTGTAAAGTTCAGTCAGCTCTGAGCAAGGAAGCTTAGGAAATAACCTCCACGTGGCAGTCGCTGCTTGCAGTTCTCAGTATTCGKTAAATATATGTTTCATAGCGTAGTTGACGATCTTTGTGAGTTGTTGTGGTGTGCGAGCATTATTAAAGCCATATCGTCATCAACACACAAAAAAAAGAGCTAGTGTCAATATTTGAATTTTTGAAACAACTATAACAATGACGGAAACGAAAGAGAAAAGAGAACGAACAGTGCAAAGCATAAACCTGATTGCTCTATTTGACAGCAACAAGAGTTACCTGGTTTCATATATTGACAGTTTAAAAACTGTAATGCCTCTTACATACATATATGTAATAGGAAAAACTTTTTTGTTTTCAATAAGTTGTAAGTACCCTTCGTTTATTGACGTTTTATGTATTGAAAAAAGAGCAACTTGCGAGTACGGAAATATTGAGATGCCTGTTAATTGATGAATTTGCAGATCCCACACCTAATACTACCGTACTATTGTATTATTAGTAAGTAACATAAAACACAGAGGCAGCGGTAACCAACTATGTGAAAAAATAAATGCAGAATGCCAATTTGGTTACAGACGTTAAATCAGATATTAGAATATTAAAAGTAGACATAACCTAATACAAGCGAGACAACAATTTAACAATTTACAGAAATAATATAAATAATCTTTATATACCTATAAAAATCACGTGTCACGTTGTTTGTTCGCGATGGACGCCTAAACTACTGAACCAATTTGATTGCACACCGTGTGCAATTCGATCCGTCTTTCAAGTTGGATCAAATTGCATCGTTTACATCTCCATTTATAATTGCTAATATTATATTATTGCAAATTATTTGTATTATATATTATTTGACAGTCAGAATTATTTGTTAGCTCAAGAAGATTCTAACAGATGGCGCTAATTATTGATTGGATTGAGTAAGTAWTCAACAGATGGCGCTATGTTAAAAATACAAACGTTTTATATAAACGAAAATTTAATAGCATAATCACTAATTATTATATTCAAATACAAAATAAATTTAGTTTACACCTCAGTTTCAGCAATACGTAATTATTATGCTATTAAATTTGTGTTTTAACATAGCGCCATCTATTGAAGACTTACTCAATCCAACCAAAAGTTAACGTCATTTGTTAGAATATCTTGGAGCTAACGGATAATTATGACTGTCAAATAATATACAAAGACCTCAACAACGCTYGAAGCAGAGTGGCACGACGCAACCGTGTTGAAAGAGCATTAAACTGCCAAATAAATTATGCACTGTTCTTGAGGAAAAAAATTAATTGATTCAGAGTATTTTTCCGAATATACAGAGTAATTACTTGAATCATAACTGGCTCAGTTCTCAGTTTCGGGCTATATTCCAAATACAACAGTTTTTACTAGGCGATCTGATGTACTTTAAATCACTCGATACTGTTCTTAATGAAAATGAAAGTGAAAGTTTTCCAATTGAATTTTGAAATTCACTAGATATACTCGGAATGCCACCACATAATCTTCGATTAAAGAATGATTCACCTAAGTTTCTCCTTCGTAATTTGAATTCACCTCCATTATTCAATGGTAGGAGTTTGGCTATCAAAAAGATAACCGGAAATATTCTTAAGAGCTTTCGTGCATTTTAAGAGAAAGTACACCATTGAATATTTCGAACTTCTCTGATGGTAATAAGGTATATTTCAAGCTATATTTTAAGATTTTTTTTTTGCAAAAATGTTGAACAATAACGGAGATATGTACTGTCTTCGGAGGTGCCAAAAAAAAGTGCCCCAACTGCTGGTATGATTCCGGTCGAATGAGTAGTTGAAAAAAAAAAAAAAACGTTCTTTAAAGATTATTAAACTTAAAGATATTTCCTATACAATGACCTACAGTCTTTGAAAATATAAAAAATTAAGAAACTGGCGTATTTTGTTGTCGTTTTTTAATGCCAAATTGACAATTTTTAACCAATCAAAAAGATCGTAAGTCATTGTATTCATGTAAATGTATTCAAAACTACGCAGTTTTAATTTGAAGTCGATCAATCAATTTCTCGTCGAGTTACGACGCTAACAACTTTGAGAAATGCCGTTTAGGAAAAACTGGTTTAAAGTTTGACTTATATATGTTTGCACCTCCGAGTGGTCGCTCTTTAGAACATTGCCATCCAAAAACTATTCAAGATACGCCCTTCCCCTTTATGAAAATAAGTTATCGAAAAAGCAAAAGAAATTGTTGTTTTTGAAAGTGTTACACTGGTATAGCCCCTTAAAGCAACCATATTACAATTTCCAGATCGTTTAGCTTTTGTAATGACGATTAATAAATCTAAAGGAAAAACAATGTCCATTTGTTGTTAAGATTTGGAAAATCCATGTTTTTCTCATAGGCAACTACATATATGTTGCATGTTCAGGTGCAGGAAAACCGTTGAATTTATTTGTGTTAGCTAAATACGGACTGACAAAAAATATTGTTCACCGGTTAGTGCTAAATTAAATTAAGATTAAAAGTATTGATAATTCAAAATATTGAATATTATTCTTAAATATTTAAAACTATTTGTTAAAAATTTAAATTAAAAAAATTATTTTTAGATAAATTTTTTGTAATAACTCTTTCCAAATTCAATAGTATGACAATTTTGTTCAATTGACCTTCCGTTTCAAATTCCAATCCAGTGGATTCTTACAACAGCTCAACCGTTTCCATCTTCGTTCGTACATAATAATTTCATTGTATTAAGGGGTCATTGTCCCCCGTGAAGAGTATACAACTGGCTAAATGAGCCTTAGTCGCCTGCCCCATATCACACCACACCTACACCCATCACTAACACGCCACACTCAGCTCCACATCACCACATCACCACACTCCACATCAACACCACCCACACGCGAGAGCCCAGGATCCACACACTCAAACACACACCACGCCACTCCACATAAAAAGGGTCAGCCTGTAGACAAGGCATGATGTTATTTAAACAAAGCCACAGCTGAGAGGTAGCACTGTAGAAACGTCAAGGGGAGTGCCGTGTTGAGTTTCTATTGGAATCCAAGATGGCCGACTTTTAACCGGAAAATGGTTGCATTGTGTTATTTTCTAAAAATGAATGGAAAAGTTGTCCCAAAAATATTGGTTATATATAAAACCGTAATAATATGCTACTAACAAATAAGCAACCATGCCGAATAGTGGGGTCCAGAATATGTTCATTCACAGCCATATTTATATTTTTGCCATCATAACGGAGGTTTGTGCAAGACAATTTGCCTGAATTTATTTCATGGAACAATCCTTTACTATGGCTTATTAGGTTATTTGAATCTGGAAGAAGTTCCCAAATTTCCATTGGGTCAGGTGCTGTTCCAATTTTATGATTTAAAAGATAAAAAAGCGATACGCGATGCTGCGAAGTACTCAAATATAGTTAACTTAGTTGGTCGTGAATTCTAGACAAAATTTTAAATTCAATGACGTGCTCGTATTGCATTGCTAGGTAAGCTAAAATTAAACTTTATTTCAAAAGATGTACCATGTGTTTTTAAATTTTTTTATAGAATCAGCAAAKAAGCTAGTTTAGAACGTTTGATTAATTTGTCTGCTTTAAAGGCTAGTCGCGAACCAAATAGCTTTGTGTTTGAGGGTCGCAACAACTTTTTGAAGAGCAAATGCTAAGGTGAATGTGCTGTTCGCGATGAATTCCCAGAGGCCAGCTGATATCTATGGTTCGGAAGATCGTTTCCTACGATACTACGCCCACATTTGGCGTCGCCAGTACCGTACCATGTCACTCTGGTTTGTGGGCGAACGTACTGTAAAACAACCGGTGTTTCTTTCTAATATGCTAAACACTCAACCCACCTTACAGACCAAAACGTTACCAGTTGAGCGAATTAATTGACTGGTTCCATCGTGTTAAGCGCAAAGATGAAAAATGGTGGGGATGCCGTCGTTAAAACATGCGTTGCGATCCTACCTTCCTATTGAAAGGCAAGTTCACTGAGCTTATCTGTCCTGGACAACCTAATGGTGAGCTACATATGGAACGTCCCGATCGCGAATGTATTATCGATGTCGTTTGGATGTACAACTGACCTCCATGGAAGAGCAGGTACCATGGAAGTTTCGACCRTATCGTGCTGCGCAATATTATGATGCCGAATTGGGATAGTGGGAGGAATCAGCTCCACCAAAAACGATAGAACATCAGGAAGAACTACGTAT